TGCTATACGATCACCAGTTGATCGTGGTCTCCTTCAGCTTGACCTGGACGCTATGTCCAACTGGTCACTTAACTGGAAAATGAAATTTAATGTCTCGAAGACGCTCCTACTTAGGATATCTCGCAAACGTAACCCTCCAACTCATTGCTACTTTCTTAACAACGATCCAGTTAAGAGCATAGCTAACCAAGTAGATTTTGGTGTTGTTATCAGCAATGACCTAAAGTGGTCCCCTCACATCGCCAGCTGCACTGCAAAAGCCAATCGTATGCTTGGTTTTCTTCGTAGGAACTGTACGCAAATGTCTGATATTCGCTGCCGTAGGCTTCTTTATCTTGCTCTCTTCCGATCTCATCTGTCATATGGTAGTAAGATCTGGGCACCTCAAGGATCGTCACGTGATCCTGCGATCATCGAGGGTGTTCAAAGACGAGCTAGTAAATTTATCCTTCAGGATTATGAGTTGCCATATCCTGAACGCCTTAAAAAGCTTAATTTATTACCAATATCCTACTGGATGGAACTAAAGGATCTCGTCTTCTTTTTTAAATGTAAGCACGGTCTCTTCGACCTAGATATCTCCTCTTTCGTCACCTTTTCTTCAAACAGCTCGTCTCACACCCGTTCAAGTTCGGACAACTTGCTTCGTGTCAATCATTGCAGGACTTCTCTCTTTAGGAACTCTTTTTTCAACCGAATTGTCTTTCTCTGGAATAATCTCTCTCCCACCATTCGTAATAGTTCATCCGTTTCCTCCTTTAAAAGCAGACTAACTGTTCATTACTCTTCTCTACTTCATTCATCTTTCGATGTAAACAGAATGCGCACTTGGAAAACCTTCTGTTCTAAGTGCCGCTCTTTCAACTTAAGCTGTTGTTCGTAATTCGTCATGTTTTCTGTAAATTTTATATTTGTTATCGTCTTTGATTTATGTTTGTTATAGTTTGTTTTCATTAAGGTTGGTCTTCATATGGGGCTAATCATGTCCTGTTGACCATACCTTCAACCATATTATGTAGTGTTTTAGTCCATTTTATGTATGGTTGTAAAGCTAATAAATAAATAAATAAAAAACTATAGCCAAAGATATCGACATTATAGTTCCAGTATTTTCATTCAATTTTGTCTCGGTGACTGCTAAAATATCCGGTTTGGAAGAAATAGAGTATATCAAGTCATGCAATAAAGTAAAGTGTTTGGGAGACTTCTTCCATTGCAGTTAAACACTGAGAGTGCCTTAGATTCTGCTGCATTCAGTATATCAATAGAGAGTTTAAGTTCGACTTCCGATACCAATACTGATGCTAACAACATGTCATGCGCATGCTCTCTGCTCGCAAGAAGCACGAGGACAAGTGTATTGGAAGTCACCACTACCGAAGTCGGCTTTGTATTGGAAGTCGGGGGAATTATAAGATGAACTCATATAAATCGGATATTTCATAATTTTTACGATAAAAATGTAATCTATTTGTTTATTAGCATCGCCTGAGTCATGTTTTAGTCGGACTTTTATCTCAGCTGCCGTTTAGTATACCGCACATTTTCGGTGACGATTAATATGTTCTATATTTTATCTGTCGTGATAACTCAACGCTTTAAAATTCCCGGTTCCAAAATGGGAACGGAAGTGAAAAAATCGGTATCGGTATTGGAAGTCGAACTTAAACTCCCTATTGATTTTATCAAGCGATCAAGTAGTAGTGTGACACTAAATTTGTCAACATGTTATCAGGGTCATTTTCATCTAATTTATCTGGATTTGGTAAAATATTATACAAATCCATATCTGCGTTTAATTCTCTAGTTGAACAATTAAATTAAACAAAGATTCCCTTTCACTCAGATTAACAAAGGGTAGTTATATTAGAGCGCCATCATTAGCTGCAATTTTTAACTTATTTCTTAATTCATATACCTATATTGATGCAGAGAAAAAGGGTAAGATAACACCTATCTTTAAATCTTCAGATAGACAAAAATGTGATAATTATCGACCTATCTCAATTCTACCGATAATAAGTAAGACAATTGAGAAAGAAGTCTTTGATCAGCTATATGAACATTTATGTCAAAATTTATTGCTTTCTAAATATCAATCAGGTTTTCGGCCAAAACATTCAACCATATCAGCATTCATCCAAATATGCGACCAATGGTTAGAGAATATGGACAATGGCATGTTAACCGGTGTTGTATTTATTGACATTAGCAAAGCTTTTGACTCAATCGAACACTGAACTGAAATGGTTCGAGTCTTATCTAACAATTCAAAGAGACAACAAGTGTGTTTTGTCAATGGTCATACATCGTCACCGACACAAATAACATGTGGGGTCCCACAGGGCTCAATTCTTGGCCCATTATTGTTTTCACTATATATTAATGATATGCCAAAGTGTCTAAAATCTACAACCCCTTGCCTCTATGCTGACGATGCTGAAATTGTTGCATCATCACTTGATTATGATACACTTGTTAAAAACCTAAATGATGATCTAAAAAATCTTCCACTTGGCTTGCCAAAAATAGGTTACAATACTATCCAACTAAAACCAAATTGATGTTCATTGGATCACCATACAATCTTAAAAATAGGATTGGCGAGGCCACTGTATTTTTTGGCGACAAACCAGTACCATTAACTCACTCTCTTGAAAGCTTAGGAGTAGAAATCGATGAAATCGGGCTATTGAAGCGCTAAACCGTACGTTGATATTTATACATTACAAACAATATATAAAGCACAAGTGCAGTCATATTTTAACTATTATTCCACCCTATGGGGAAACTGTAGTAAATTGCTTCAAGATAAACTACAAAGATTTTAGTCTTGCGCAGCAAGGGTAATAAATGGTGCCACTTACGATGTAAGGACACTTGACATTCTTAATACCTTGTCTTGGGAAACACTTGATAACAGAAGAAAAAAATCCAAGCCTGTGTTTATGTACAAAGTGTTAAATGACCACACTGCCCCGGGTCAAAAAGAATCTTTTTCCAAAAGGAATGTGACACAAAATATCTATAATCTCAGGAATAGCGATTTAACTCTTCGAAAACCTAGAACAGAATATATAAGAACTCAAGAAGCTTTATGTACAGCGGCGCCATGTATGGAATGACCTTTCCTCTGCAGCCAAATCGGCGGATACTCTCGATTGCTTTAAAAGAGAGATAGGTGCAAGCTAGAGGAAGATTCTGTGCTATACGTGCTAAACTAATTCTTGTATATAGTATTTTTAAATTGTAACTTTTTAAATTAATTATTTTCTTTATATCGTTTGTGTGACGCCCCTCGTGGAAATCAGCACTATGTTGACCAGGCTAGCGTGATTGAATAAAGTTTTTACCTACCTTCCTGTCTGTTTGCCCGGCTCATACTCGTAAGTCGATGAAAACACCTGTACATTACATCACGAGTGGAATCTCGGGAAAAAATCATATACAACCTTCGCTGGATTAATAGCTGGCACCAGGCATGGAAAAGAAGAAATTCGTTCATGTGATTATACCACCACAAAAAACACACATCGTTTCCAACTTCGCCTTGTAGCTCAGAGGGTATAGCGTCGTTCTAGAAATGCGAAGGTCGCGGGTTCGATTCCCAGCCGTGGTCAAGTACACTTAATTTTCTGCTTGCCCGGCTCATATTCGTAAGACGATCAAAACATCTATAGATTACAACACGAGTAGAAACTCGGGGGAAAAATCCTATACTACATTCGCTGGATTAATACTAGGCACCAGCAATGGAAAAGAAGACATTCGTTCATGTCATTACCATCATAAAAAATAACATTGTTTCCAACTTGGCCTTGTATAGCTCAGAAGGTAGAGCGTATAGCTCTAGAAATGCGAACGTCGTGGGTTCGATTCCCAGCCGTGGTCAAGTACACTTCATTTTCTGCTTGCCCGGCTCATATTCGTGAGACGATCAAAACATCTTTTCATTACAACACGAGCAGAAACTCAGAGAAAAAATCCTATACAACATTCGCTGGATTAATAGTTGTCACCAGGAATGGAAAAGAAGAAATTCGTTCATGTCATTATAACGTCACAAAAAATAACATCGTTCCTAACTTGGTCTTGTAGCTCAGAAGGTAGAGCGTCCTTCTGGAAATGCGAAGGTCGCGTGGTTAAGTAGAATTAATATTATTTTCTGCTTGCCCGGCTCATACTCGTAAGACGATGAAGACACCTATATATCATAATCATCAAGAGTAGAATCACAGGGAAAAGTAACTTACAACATTCGCTGGATTAATAGCTTGCCCCAGGCATGGAAAAGAAGAATTTCGTTCCAGTCATTACCATCACAAAAAAAACCATTGCTCCCAACTTAGCCTTGTAGCTCAGAAGGTAGAGCGTCGTTCTAGAAATGCGAAGATCGCGTGCCCGGACCATACTCGATCAAAACACCTATATACATTACATCACGTAAGTCGATCAAAACACCTATATACATTACATCACGAGTAGAATCTCAGGGGAAGAAATCATATACAACATTCGCTGGATTAATAGATGGCATCAGACATCGAAAAGAGGGTCATATACTGTATATGTATAACTACAGACGGTACCGTTTCGGCCTTTTGCGCCTCATCAGTGTAGTGCTGATGAGCAGGATGAAGTTAACTATAGTACTATAGTACTATAGTTACTTTTGATGTCTCACAAATGTGGGACATCAAACCATGATATGAACTTTTGTTCTAGTGCTTCTTCAGACATAAATTTATATATTTCGCCTGTTACGGCCTCTTCAGTGGAGATGATTTACAGTAATATATTGTTTGTCCTATATATATATATATATATATATATATATATATATATATATATATATATATATATATATATATATATATATATATATATATATATATAATATATATATACTATATATATATATATATATATATATATATATATATATATATATATATATATATATATATATATAGTTTTTCGTTTTACCTCAAAGAACCACAACAGTCTGTTTCATCCGTATAGGAATCATCAGGTGGTGAATAATTTCGAAATTGTAGGTTGCTTTTATGCTATCGAAAGAATGTTCGGAATGCGTGTAGGCGAAACAATGCTTAGGTGAAACAATGCATGCATGGTTTTGTTAACGACCTTGTTTACTCGAAACCGGTTTTTGTGACGACATTTGCCGAAAATTTCGCTTCTTTTATTGAGTAAATTGTCTTTGTTTATGTCTTTCAAAATGCAAAATTTTTCTTCCAAACATAAATTGCAGCGTTTTGATCCCCCTGTGTACGAAATAACGTGTTTTAAAATTGACCATTTGATGGTATAATCCTGATTGTTTTCTTTTAACTTCCAAATATGTTTCGAAAGTTCCGTTTTGTTTGAGTCTTTTTTATGACGAAAAGATGAAGTGTGGTTAGCGTAACGTTCCTTAAATGTAGTCGCTGTCATACCAATGTAGTGTTTAGTGTCGTTCGTGTTGTTCGTTGTGACTGTTGCTTTGTAAATAATGTTGTTGGTCATGCATTGTTTCGGTAGTGGGCAAGTGTTTTTGTTGTCGCAGTTACAGTTGTCGGTTTCCGTATTCTGTGATTGACTGTTCCTAATTATATGTGCGTTGTGTTTGGTGATTATAGACTTAACGTTGTTCATGCAACTGTAGCTTACTTTTAAAGTGTTTCTGTTGAAAATCTTGTGTAGTTTGTGTTGTAGTGGGAAGTGTTTGTCAATTAAATTTAAGAATTCCCGGAACCGGTTTCGAGTAAACAAGGTCGTTAACAAAACCTAATGACCCAAGCATGCATTGTTTCACCTAAGCATTGTTTCGCCTACACGCATTCCGAACATTCTTTCGATAGCATAAAAGCAACCTACAATTTCGAAATTATTCACCACCCGATGATTCCTATACGGATGAAACAGAC